CGCGCGGCCCGCAGGGCTGGCTTCCTCCACGGCTGCGCCCGCGCGCGTCAGCGGCCGGCAGAGCAAGGACACGACGCCGCACCGACCGCGCCCACCCGGCCGGCTGCTGCCCTCTCGCCCGCGCGGGTACTCACAGCTCTGGTCTCGTACAGAACCAACTTCTGGACCGAGCTGATGATGGGGGCGGCGGCCGTGGGCATGGCCGGAGCAACCGCGGGCCCCACGACGGGACACCGGGCCGCGGCCCAGGTTGTGGCAGCCGCCGGACCGCCCTGAGAGACTCGGCGAGAGGACAGCTCAGACCCTCCCACCTAGTTGCCGAGAAACACTAGCCGGGCCCGCGGGAGCTCGGGTGTTTCCGGATCCCAGGCCCGCCTCCGGTCAGGCCCCGCGGAAGTGTGGCCGGTCCCGGGACCTGCGTGCTGCCAAGGAGGAAGTCAAGAGCGCCATCTTTGATACGGGCAGGAGGAAAAAATGGCGGCGCGGGAATTGTCTAAATTGTGGAGTGTCTCATTCATCCGGTCCTTCTGCCAAGGGGGAAGACTTGGGATTGAGTTGTTTCTTTTGAAACAGTCTCTCCAGTTTGAGGAAAGTTCCATTCCCAAATAGGTATGTTTCCCCCCCTCTCCTGCCATATTTCCTGGAAACCGGTTGGAGGTCCTTCGCTGAGGAGCGGCTTTTTTCCTCGCTCCTTTTGTTCCCTGTTTTATCCTTATGAGAATCAACAAAATCCACCTTGTACACTGGCTGTATGGACCAAGAGAGAAGAGCTTTGTAAATTGCCTGGTGGGGGAAGTCGGCGTGTGCCGCGTTCTGTGCCCGAGGCTCCCCAGGGGTGAGCGCCCGGGGGGAGTCGCGCAGTGGCGGAGCCCTGGCTCTGGCGGCCTGGGTTCGGGGTGTGTGAACACGCGTGCCCAGTGCGTACAGCCTCTCTCGTCGTCACCTTCCACATCTGAGGAATGTTTCGTGTTACACTTACGAAGAAAAAATTAAATACACAAGCAAATATTAAGAATTCAGAGCCCAGCGACACCTTCCGAGGCCCCGCCCTCTGCAGCCCCTGGTTTCCCTGGCAACCGCGGGAACTACCCGGGGAGTCTCTGCAGGCTGCAACTGACCAGACGGTGGGGTCTGCTAACTCCAGGACAGTAGCTTTTCCCGAGTCCCAGAGGGGTCGTTGTCCACTCCCCGGATACACTTCGTTGTGGTTTGTAGAGAAGCCTACTTACTTGTGAAGACCCCAGACCGGTTTCTTTTCTTGCAAAACCAAACTTCAAGAACCCACCATAAATCCACTTTTTAAAATCAGTTCTTAGGCCCAGGGATATAGCTCAGTGGCATAAGCGCCTGCCTGGCAAGCACAAGGTCCTGAATTTGATTCCCGGTACAAAAAAAAAAAAAAGTGAAAAACAGTTCTTTCAACAACTAATGTATTTATTTAAAATATATTTACTAAACATCTGCTAAGAGGAAGTGCTAATTTCCCGGATATGACCTCTCCAAACCTCAGAATGCACCACTAAAAGGTTTTTCAATTACTGAACATGTAAAAAAACTTAAAAAAAATTAGAGCATACACATATAGCACAATGTGATATAAGAGGTTATGTTATATATTCAAAATTGATCACTTACAAAATTTTCTAAAAGAAATATGTGACTGTATATTAATTTTCTTTCATAGTTTGGTACCTTTTAAATTAAGAACTGTATAAATAGATGGTCATGACAGTTCTGGCATTGACTTTGACTTTTTTTAACTTTCATTTCATAATGGAAACCAACTCTTCTGAATGCAAGTTAAATACCTGCAAAATGATTCTGTCTAGGGCAACAACTCAAAATATCTGTAGAATTCTGGTTCTCAAATACTTAGTTTTCAGCTATTACCTTAGTTCATTTCACTCAGAAGCAAGTCTGAGACAAAAAATTAAGGCCAGTAGTTTTTATGGGAGATAATCCTAGTAAACAGCACCAGGGGAAGGGTTGACCCTCATAAAGCGATTATCAAGCAAGTTTTTCTGTGGCTGAATTCACAGGTAATACTGGGGCTCACATCTCCAAGGCAGACCATCTTAAGGAACAAAAGAGCTCAAACATTTGTTTACCCACGCCCATCGATTTTTGTTTGAAACCTGCTGTGGCAGAGTATTGGCACTTTGAAACTTTCAGTTTGCCCAAAGCTCAGAGAGGGAATGGCAGTTGAAGAAAGCCAATTAGACAAAGAGTCACACAAAGAGTGGACATGAGAGACATACTTGCAAGTCTGGCTGCATATACATACCTCAAGTACATACGGGCAGGGTGCTAGTGGTGTTTTAGTTACTCTTCTCATTAATGAAACAAAATATCCAACACCCAAAGCTAAGGGAAGAAAGGTTTATTTGGCTTACAGTTCATAGCGATTTCAATCCATACTTGGCTGGCTCCAAGGCAGGGTGGCTTAGCAGAGGGGCATTGCAGGAGAACCAGTTTATGGCAACCAAAAGACAGCAAATGCAAGCAAGGGACCTTAATGGCGTCTTTCTGCCCCTCTTATCTTATCCAGGCTACTTAGGGTGGGTATCACTCACATCCTTAATCCTGGTGTCCTTGAGCCTAGCATTGCACCATGAAACAATTCCAGCATCACACACTCTAGATCCAGTCACCTCTGAAAAAGCCCCATCTGTGACAGCATGAGGTTTTGGGGGAACATCTAGACACCATAACATTCCTCCCCGGGCCCCCAAAACTCATGCATATCCCTGTATGTAAAAAAGCATTTAATCAATCTCTAAGAATTGCCAGCATTACTTAAAAGTCCAAGTCCCAAGTCCTCTGAAACTAAAGTCAGATTCTTAGCTGCAAGCCCCTGTACAAATGAATAGAAAGTTAAACACTTTCAACATTCAATGGCACAAGATAGTGATTTCTATTCCAAAAGTTATAAGCTGTGGGATACAAAGGCTTGGGACCAAAGCAAGTCCAAAATCCAGTCCAAATATTAAGTGCTGTAGTTCCATATGCAGCATCTGAGGCAATCCGTGGCAAAATGTGAACTCCAAAGGGCTTGGGTGTCTCTGCCCATTTGTCCCTATGGTTGTAGCTCCTATTACTTCTCTCTGGGGCTGGCTCTGCTCCCTCCTTGTAGTTTTCCTCAGATGATACACATTGGCTTCTCCAAATCTCTGGGGTCTCCTCTGTACCTTTGGTTTCACACTCAAAAATTCATACACTGCCCACTCTTAGTGGGCAAACTGCTTAGTCTCCCACGCCTTCTAAAATTGGGTAGAAGCCTTGTTGAACCTACAACTCTTGCATCCTGCATCCTCCTAAAGCCAGCACCACCTGGATGATACCATGGTCTGCTGCAGCTGGAGCAGTAGCCAGGCTTTTTTCTCTCTTGACTGTAAAAATCCAGTGTCTAATAACAGGGTCTGACAACAGCTTCCCGAGGCCACTGCCATTTTGGAACATGGTGCTCTGGGGCTTTCTTCTCAAAGCAAACTGTTTCACTTATGCAACTCAGAGGCTACAAAGAGTGGAGTCTTGCTGGTTCTTGCGATATCCTCAGTCCATCTTGTTTGTTCTCAGTAATTCTCTGCTCTGTCTTTACAGTTTACAGCTCTACTGGAACTTCTTTTCTGGCCAAACACAAAACATTTTAAATCATTCTGCTGGGCTCTTTGCTCTTGATCTGCAACATAATTCTGGCTAAAAGCCTCCAACAGCAGCCATGCCACTACCTCAACATTAGACTGTCTTGAAATTTCTTCTGCCAGATTAATTAGTTTGTCATCCTTAATCTCAGTTTCAGACAATGAGCAAAATGCAGACAAACATTCTGCCAAGCCATAACATACATCATCTGGAGTCCAACAACCAATGCAGTCCTTCTTCCAAGCGGAAACCTCCCAAGCCATTCTTTACCGAAAGCATTTCTATCGCTGTTCTAGTCTTCTGAGCTCTGACCAGAATCTCCCATCAGTTTATGACATTCCAGCTCTATTTTTTCAGCCAGCATCTCCAAACCTTTCCTAGCTCTTTCCTTCCCTACAAACTAGTTCTAAAGACTCCTGAGCCAGATGGCCAGGTAATGTCATAGCAATGACCCCACTTCTCTTGTACCAAATTCTGTCTTAGTTACTTTTTTCATTGCTCCCACAAGTTAAGGGAGAGAGGTTTATTTATCTCACAGTTTGTATAGATTTCAGTTCATAGTGGGCTGGGTCCAAGGCAGGTTTACATGGCATAGGAGTAGAAAAATAGTCCACAGCAAGCAGGCAGGTAAGATCAAGCAAGCAAGGAACAAAACAAGCCTCTTTCTGTCCCTTATATTGTATCCATGCTACTGGGATTAGGATGGTGCCAAACCAGCCAGTGAACTGATTTAGTAATCACACACCCTCAATCCCAGCCTCACACACTAGATTCAGCCACCTCTGAAAACACCCCACCTGTGACCACATGAGGCTATGGGGAGTCATCTAGACCCAAGCCATAACAAGTCGCATCTGCTACATTCCACTCTTTGAACCCCTCATATCCACCTTCAGTTCATACCATTCCATTGCTGAGCCTTTAACGTAATGACCAGTCCAGTTTCTAAAAGTAAAGGATTTACAGAACGTAGGCCAACAGGAAAACTACAGAATCAACCACTGCAAGTAAACCTGTGTCTATAACTGATCATCATCTTTCCTCTTTAACAGCTAGATTAGATTTTCCTTACCTTCGGACAGCACTTCTGCTGGTCTAAATTGTTTGCCCAACAGAACAACAAGTTTTCATTTCTGAAGAGTATAAGCTCCTGGTTACTGAGCTCTTTATAGATAATGTTTGCTGCAGTTATCATTTACTGAATATAACTGCATATATGATGTATCTCAGGGGATCTCCTGAGTTGCAGACACACACCTCTGATTCCAGTTATGTAACAACAAATCTTTCTTCACCTGCCAGTGCAGTAACTCCTTATAAACTTGTGGAGCCAAAAATGATTAGATGGCACAGTAGTTTTAGGGTTAGTAAAATGTTTACTGAGTTCCCTGATAGAACCATTTGTCCTATCAATCAAATTCCATTCAGCAGATACGAAAGATGTGAGAAAGGTAAACAAATTGCTCATGTCAATCCCAGAGTGATGGTAAAAGGGACATCTATTTCTAACACTTGATTCAAAGTGTATTCCTCATTTTGAAGTACACTGTCTCAAAGCCCTATCATACCAAAATAGTGCCTTAGCTGTAATTTGAAAAGTCTGTCTGACATTCTGGCAGACCAGCATCTTTTATATGAGGTGGAATATGGCAGGACCAGTAGATCCCATGCTGACTGCTTCTCACATATCTTCTGTGAAGTTTCTTGTGACACCCTACAGGTTAATGTCTGCTTGGGTTGACTGGGGAAGTGGAAGACTGTTACCTCCAAGGAGCTGGAACATCTGAAAGTTGCCAACCATCCCAGAGATGGGCCTTACAGGGAAAACAAGAAACTCCCTAGGGGACAATCAGTAATGATTCTGCCAAATTGTCACCATGCCTTGCTTGCCTGCCTTACTACCTAAAACAAACATCTGCACTCAGAAGAACCCTATGCCTTTGTTGTTCCTCAATAAAGTTGTGGTTTTGAATCAGTTTGGGGCTTCACTTCATTCCAATGAGAAGTCCCTCGGCCCCCCTCCCCAACAAAGATATACTCTGTGTCTCCCATTCTTCATGTATCTCTCTCTATGAGGGTTTTCCAGCAAGCTACTTTAGTGTAAAGGGAATACTTTGATCAAAGGCAATATTGTATGGGATTCCATGATGATAAATGAGACTTACAAAACACTCTAGAACATTTAGGTAGTTGTGCTGTGGATCAAGAAGGCAAACATCCTAGAAGCACAAGTCACTTGCCTCTTACAAGGTGAAGAGCCCTGTGCAATCAGATTTCAATGAGTGGTTACTCTGTCTCCTCAAGGGATTGCTGTACACGGAAAGTTTCAGCAGGTGAGTGGTTAAGCAAATTGGGGCATATCCATACCAGGGAATATGACAGTAATAAAAAGGAATGAACTAGTACACAGAACAATCTGGATTAATTTCCAGGGAATTATGCAAAATAAACAACTAAATCAGTTTCAAAGGTTTCATATTGTCTGGATTTATGTAAGATTCTTTTTCTTTTTTTATTTTGGAGGGGTTGTTTTGTTTTGTTTGTTTGTTGGGGGGCAGGGGCTCACTATGTAGAGCAGGCTGGCCTTGAAGTCACTTATGTAGCCCAAACTGACCTTGAACTCACAGTAATCCTCTTGCCTCAGCCTCCCAAATGCTGAGATTACAGGCGTGTGCTAGCATAACTGGCTATGTAAGATGCTTGAAATGACAAAAATATAGAAGTAGAGAATTCTTTATGAATGGCCAGTTACCCTAACCCAAATGCCTCCTTTATCATAGTGTAGGTGTGTATACATTTGGTAGGTCTGGGACCCCTTCAAGCACAGTCCTTCACACAGACACAGACGTGTACGCAAGTCATATCACAATAATAATTTGATTTTATGTATTAATTTGGAAATGGTTGACAATATTTATAATGTGGAGTTTTTCTATCCACACATATACTGTAGTTCTTCTTTAGGTCTTCTTTAATATCCATCTGCAAAATTTTATAGTTAGTACACATTTTCTAGTAAATTTATTCATACCAGTGCTGTGCAGTTGTGATAATTCTTGATACTGCTAGTGTAAAAATTATGAAATTTAAAAAATATTTTCACTACATAATTTTAATTAAATACAGTATTTAATAGTTCTAATATATAACATCATTTTGTTAATATATTCTAATTTCCATCTTAATTTTTTCTTTGATGCAGTAATACATAGAAACATACTTTTCTTTCCTTTTTTCTTTTTATTTTTCAAGAATTAGGGACTGCTGGGCATGGTGGCACATGCCTGTAATTCCAAGTACTAGGAAGACTGAGGCAGAAAGGTTGCCACTAGTTCAAAGTCAGGCTGGACTGCACAGTGAGTTCAAGGCCAGTTTAAACTACAGAGTGAGACTCTGTTTCAAAAAACAAAACTAAAAAAATTATGGGCTTTTAAAATAGTTTTATAATTATTTTAAAATTATTTCATTGTGGTCAAGAAAATGTCTTCGTCTGGGGATACAGCTCAGTGGCATAAGCACCTGCCTGGCAAGCACAAAGTCCTGAGTTCAATTCCCAGTACCAAAAAAAAAAAAAAAAAAACATAAGCACCTGCCTGGCAAGCACAAAGTCCTGAGTTCAATTCCCAGTACCAAAAAAAAAAAAAAAAGAAAAGAAAAAGAAAATGTCCTATGTTATTTTCCTATTTATATTATATGAACATCTATGAATATATTAAATATTTTGTGAATATAAATATTCTACAAGTGCTTGAAAACAACACATCAAAAAAATTGTTGACCTAATTTGTCTCTGATTCACTCTAACAAAACCAGTATAAGTGGAAAACCTCATTCCTGTGATGTTTAAAATAGGGGTTCTGTGCCTAGAAATCCACTTAATGGTGCAAAATAGTAAAAGGTTTCCAAAAATAAGAATTTTAACATAAGATGTGTTTCCATAGTTTGAGTATTACAGAGTGAAGAGGTCTGAAAACTACA